TCTTTTTTTTTTTTTTTTTTAATCAACTATTTACTCATATTTTTCAATTTCTCACTTTACCACTTTATCGTCCTTTTTCTTAAATCAAGTAGGATTAAAAAAATGAAAAATGCATTTAATATGCAAAAAAAAAAAAAAAAACGAAAAAAAAATTTAATCTTTGCAATGTTGTCCAATCTAAATTTTCAACAAAAAAAAAAAAAAATTACCACAAACTTTCAACATCTATTAGATATTCTCATATCATATTTAGTTTTAGTCTTCCTTTAATACTAGTACCACAACTATTTCATGATATCACATGATCATTTAGCTAAGTTTATTTTACTAAATTATTGCATCAAAAAATAGAAAGTAAAATTTTACATGAAAGGAATTTCCATTACTTTAATTGTAAACCTGATTGATTGTAAAATTAGATTGTTTCATTTCAATAATTCAAAAAAGAAAAAATATTTAATGTAATTCTTCCAAACAAAACATTATGTTTGCTTTAAGTATTATATTTTATTATTTAATATTAAAATTGCATTAGAATACAGAACAGTAATGATGAAGAATAGAGACTATTGATTTTTTTTTTTTTAGAAGAAATTTCTTTTATTTTTTATTTTAACTAAAATATAACAAATTCACTTCACTATCCTGTTAACCTGCAGCAATCGAAAATTGATATATTCTATGGTGCTATTAATGCTTACGAAGAAAGTCCGAAAAGTTCCACGTTTACGTTAATTTCTACACTTTCAAATCGAAGTACTACTAACAGGAACATATGGTGCAAATTATTTAGACGAAAGCAAATTACTTCAATGAATGAACAACCAATGATGACACATCCCAATATCTATGCATACGCCATATAACAGATGAAGTATGTATGATCAGTAATGAGCTAATTTTAATAATTTCATTACTTGCTCACTTTTAACTTTATTTTCATTACATCTGCTCCATGGACATTATTAAAACAATAAATTTCATTCATAACATAAACTCACATGTGATAATTAATCTCGACTGAAAGAGACATTCATTTTGTATTATGTCACATACTGTCTCCCTCATAAGAACTACCTTTTATCTCCTTGTTTTATTTCATTTCATTTCTTTTTTTTTCACTATTCAATGATTCTTGTTGACACATTTACCAACAGGTTCTTTAAATACTTTTTTTCAAATTTCATTCCTCCAATAAATTTAACATCCACATTTACGCTATTAACCATTTCACTATTTAGCATTAATAAATAACTTTTATTCCTACTATAACCATTTTCGTGTGAAATTCAATTTGTAAAAATTTTCACGAATTTTATAAAATTTTTGATTTTGCACGAATTCAATTTGTAAGATTTTCGCGAATTTAATGGTATAATTTGAATTGGAATATTTAAATAGTTTAAACGATATCATTTGGCACATACAATAATATCGAAACATTACATTTATACCATTTAATAGTAATAGTATAGTTAAAACTATTTGTAATGTTGCATGTACACACTATTTGATTTTATTTTTATAATTTATGCAAAGATTTTCATTCAAAAATAATGCGTGTTTTTCAGCTCACACAATCTCAACAATGTCATTGCTGATCAAAATCACAGATAATTATTATTGGTGGTGACACGAGAATATGACATCATCCCAAGGATATTATTTATATATCTTCATTAAGATTATAATTTATCGTAATTAACAAAGCCTATATTTTAGCATATTCATCTTAATGTGAGGATCATACTGCATTCCGATTCGTTGATTTAAATAATTATTAAAACTGTTCAATAATAACAGTTCAATATTAATTTAAAAAAAAAAAATTTTTTTTTGAAAGCTAAATTTGAATTTTGAACCTATTCAACGATAGATTATTTTTATTTTTTTAAAATTATTTTATTCGAATTATTATGTTTATATGAATAATTTGCCCTATATATTATACCTAAAAAAATTTCACATTCTCTCATATCGTCATATTCATTCGTTAGATATCAGAGAAAAAAAAAAAGTTGAAATTTAATTTATTATTTCTACCTCATTTTTAAAGAGTAATATTTTATTACTAATTCTGAAATTATATGCAATTTTATTATAAGTAAAAATTTATGAGTAAGGGACAAAATATATCTGAACTGTATTACTTCATTACTTATACAAGTTCAATTAAGTTAATTGCTGTATAATCGTCGCAATGATTCAAATTGATAAGAACAAATACTGTACTAGTAAAGTAAGTTTGAGATTAGCAGAGAAACATTCTTCACATATCATATGTCCAAAATTAATTGGACAATACTTTGATTTCAATTATACTTCGAATATTATGCAAATATCTTTGTAATATTTTCATCTGATAAGAAATCAATCTCCGAGTGTTTAATAATCCTGAAGACCTACTTATTGCTTCAAATCTCAAACTACATAAATGTCATTTTTCCTAATATATTGGTTGTGTACTGTATAGTTTCCAATATGTTGCAATAGTGCTGGGAGATAATTTTTGAGATTTGATAAATGATTAAGGGTAGATGTATTCCTTGGTAAGTTAAGATAAACATCAAGAATCAGATAAAAAGATAAGATGGAACGCCCCAGCAATTTCGTGCTTAACTCCCTTTTAGAAACCTGACTTATTTATAACGTGTTAGAACGTAATCATCGATCAGCGCTTTTTTTTTGTATCATTTAAACTCTTATGCACTTATTCTGCATTCATAAACAGATTAATTTTATTGAAAAATATTGAACAACACAACAAAAAAAAAGTTAATTTTTTTGATGTCAGCACAAACAAAACAAAGGCATTTTGTGGGAGTGATCGAATCAAAGTCCTTCAAAATACATTATTTGCAATGATGTTTCCCATAATCTTCACATTTTGTTGAATCCATTTCCAAAACTTGTTAAATTTTAAAGCATGCAACAGAACTAAGTTATGAATTACTAACTTGCTTCGCAAACACTTCAGAAGGATATATGTGGTATGAGGTAACACTGTGTTTCAGTCTATAAAATGATATTTCAAGTCAAAATAAGGTAGACGTGGACCAATTTTTATGCTAGATATTCTTGAAGAGAGTCCACAGAACACCAGACAGCTTTGCTAATTACTGTAGTCAAGTTTCTAAAATACTTCCGTGTAGTCTGAGAGCTTCAAGAGGATATCTGCGAAACAACAGAAAACCAACTCAAGCCATGGAGCATTCTTTCTATTTAAAGGTCTTTTCTGGACCTTACAAGCTTGAGATCTGTAAGCTTCACTGTGTTACCACTAACAAATTTAAAAGAACCAATTTTTAAAGAACTGAACTGCATGATTACTAAGGAGATGTGTATAAGGAAAATTCAATGCAGAGCAATGTAATCATCAATAACCGAATTTCTGAATTTAGTTAATTAGCTGTTTCAGCGCTGTCTCCGACGTCTTCCAGCACGACGCGGTCGATCACCGTTTAATGGATTCCTATCCGGTGGGCGATAGGATGCTTGTTGTGATGCTGCAGCCGGACCACCGTAACCAAGCGACACCGAACAAGTACATCCATCATCGTCTGGTCCTCCTCGATTATAAGAGCACAAGTCATCATACTCATGTCTTTCATGTCTGTAAGGAGGCTCTCTTGTCAACTAGTAGGAACAAGAAAAGACAAAAAACAAATGACTGAACAAGATGTGACGACTTCCATGTACTGGACGTGCGACCGCACCTCTCGTTTTTCTGGTTTCGTTTCATAACAGAATAAGTAATGAATAGTAGAGTCAATTTGTTTTCCTTATTATAAGCATTTGAAAGTAACACTGCTAATCATTACTACACACTTGCGACATTAGTTTTCACCCTTAATTCAATCAATTAACATGCAAAAGTGTTCCTCATTCTCTTCAACCCTTACATAATATTTACTTCCTTCTGATCAACATCTATTTCATCTCGAAGAATATTAAATCTAAAAAATTACTTGAAAAGAATATACCCAGCTTTAGTTTGCTTCAACGGATTTTTGTTTACTGATGCTCCGGTTGTTGTCACTAAACGATATTGCACCATATGGCTGTTGGCTTTCATATGCTTCAAGTGATTACTCTGAATAAGATGTTATAAAAACCACACATTGCATTACTTACAATTACTAAGATCAGTATCAACTAATCTTTCCAAGAATAAATGAAAATCACGGTATTTTTCATCCTTTCTTTTCTTTAATTCTCGGACTAGATCCTCTAAACTCTACTCTTGCCATAACCAACTATTACGGGAAAATAGTTCAACCAGATTAGCTTAATTAAATCTTACGTTAAAATTTTAGAGCAGAAGTTTCTTATTTATTTGACATTTCATGATTTGGATGAGCTAAACAAAAGAAAAAAAGTACCGAACACGTAGCCCATTGTGTAATATCGTAGACAACACCATCTAAACATGCATAATAAATCCAAATAAAGCCACCGAAACGAGTTTCTGCCCAAATATCGTTCTGTAATATAACAGTCTCCAAGTGTATTCATTCCATATATACATTAAAAGCAAGCGCATGAATAACTAAAATCAGTAGACCATATAGAAATCTGCACTACTTCCTGATGAATGCACTCCATATATTTTATATAATCATATATTTTACTCAAAAACGTTCGCAATGTTAGCTATTAAAACTATTCGTTCGACTCTACCAGTAACGGTGTCAGAGAATAACCAAAAGGTAGAGAAAACCATACATGTTTTGCAGGATGACGGAGTTTGCACTTTTTGCAGTAACGAGCTTCTGAAGCTCGAATACTTTCTACTGGTATACGTGTGTGCTTATTACCACAATCGCAGTACATCGCATTCCGAGCTTCGTTCATCTTTTCACGCAAGCGCTCCCATAACTCTTCCATTTCCTTGTGCTGTAAAAGATTAGAATAAATTAAAAGATAATTCTAAGGATACAGCGTTCAAACTTATAAATCCAATAACAATTCCCATAACTTCTACTTACAGAAAAATGATGTAGCTCAGAGTGTTAAGCTTTTCATTACATTATGCGATTAACTTCAAGATGACAAAAAATCTCTTATGTTCCCGAAACAAATGATAAGATGAGCTTTTTATCATCCCCTAAGCCAAATGTGGAATTCAGAAGAGCTAATTATTATGTGGATACATCGACAGCAAAGCTAGTGGAAGATCACCCTCGTACTGAAAAAAGAAATGACACGGCAAATAATTTCAAAGCAGTAATAATCTTTACCAGTGGATTTTTATGCAGATTGGCGATATTATATTTGTTCCGAACATCGGGTGCACCAATCGCATCAAATGCTCTCGAAAGAATCTTGAAAGCTTCATCTGCTCCACTTAAATGGTTCTGTAAAATTACTGATCATGTTTCTTCTAATACAAAAATAGAATCCTTCAGTCAAAATTCAAAATTCATCCTTCAGAAATTCAATAATAACGATTGTCATTGTCACAAGTTAAATTTAACTCTACATTTCAACAGAATTAAATTCAACAAAAGCACACCACAACGAATTTGTAGATGTATTCGATCTACACAGAGAATACGAAGGTGAAAAATGAAACCTTATCAGGATGCACCAGAACAGCTTGCTTTTTATAATATCGTTTAATATCGTCATCCTTACAGTCAGCCCTTAAACCCAGTACCATATACGCATCACGTCCACGACATTTCAAAATTCGTTCCATTGCTTCTTCTCCTTAAACTGATTATTAAATAATGTAAAAAGAAAAAGTAGAGAAATTTTCAGAGAAAATTCTCCAATAATGCTACACTTTTGGGATAATACAAAGATTCAACGTGCAAGAAACTTTTCAACAACATCATATTTTTAAAATAAGATAAAGATTCAATACCCTTCTGATTTTAGGAGCTTGTTCTAAAAAACAAAGATCGAACCAGAAAGTCAAGTAAAATATATAAAGCTTAGGAAACTAGAAGTATACAGATGAAAGCGATAACTATCGGCAAGTAATCATGATTTAATAAAAAACATGAACGGTGTGAAGTTCACCTGTTACCGGCAACTGAATATTTTCATTTAGACCCCACTCAACAGTCTTTTTTTGATTCATCCACATTCTTTTTATATTGAACAATCGAATATTTTCCCAACATTTTCTGTTTAAAGAATCAAATATTATGGATTTGTATCGAACCAACAAGCTGTTTTAAATTGAAAAAATTGCATTAGGATTTAAACATCTGAGATCTCTACGTCTTTGCATTATTTTCTAAGGCTATTTACCTTGTAAATATGCAAAGTAAAATCTGAAACGAAGTTACGAGTTTAAAATTAATCATTTGTGACCCATAAACATGCAAGGTCAATAAAGAAATTAATTAAAACGAAAAAAATCTCAGCAAAGAGTGAAATGCAAACAACAACGCTATGAGCAAAAAAATTACCGTTGCGCATCTAACATGGAATACCAGCACCGTTGGCAATTGAAGACAATGCTGGTGTAACCAGCCACAATTCTGGAAGATAAATTTTAAGTTAATTCTAATTTATAGAAAAATTCTTCAGAAGAATATTAACATCTGAGTGTGATTTTCTAAATAACTAAACCTTTTTTTTCCATTTCTTGCATTACTCTTTCTACTTTTCCTTTCCCACTGCAAGATGCGTATTCGCAAAGTGTTTTAAATTGCGGCAGCAAATTAATCACAGTTAAGCAGTTTTAGTTCTCTTAAATGTAAATGCTCAATTCAAAAATTCTTCAGTCTTCAAGTGTCACAAATTTTAAATTGACAAATCCGTCATAAAATCTTTTCCGACAGCTATTATTTGGTCAATCTGGTTCTCTGTTTTAACCGAAAAATTGAAAATTGAAGTATTATACAATGGTGAGACCAAATACAAGAGAATTTACAATGAGGCTTTTTACTTATGAGTTATTACGTACATATAAAGGGTAATATCCCATAGCTGCAATGATATATCCCACACAAGATCCATAATCCATTGAAGAGCATGCTTGATGATGGAAAATACGAGCGTTACCATAATATCTAAAACAATGTAACGAAGCAATGTGAAATCATAAGACAGAATCAAGGGATCAGCAGCTCAGAAATGAAGACTTTTCTTTTTCAGAAATGAAGACTTTTCATATGAGTGACAAATTTCAAATCATACTTAAGTAGTCAGCTACGCTATTCTGACGTTTTTTAATGGAATTACGCTGTTTCCGATTGCCTCTCGCAGAATCAGTTGGTGCTTGTGCGTTCAGCTCACGACGAGCACCAATCATTTTTTTGAATACTGCAAAAAAACAAAAATCGTCTAAATCCTTTTTACAGCAAGTAAACAAAATGGGTGCACTCCGCACAACAGTTTGAAGATCTACTACCGAAACTTATAAGAAGACTTTGTAGATACCAGCACTAAAGTGAATTTGGTTATAACGGACTTAGTGGTATGGACAATTACGGATCAATTTCCAAAATGTGCAAGAAGGCTCATACGGCAATGATTATTTCGCATAACCTGTAGAAAGCTTTTTAAAAGAGATCAGAGATTTTCGAGATTAATCAAACTTTCCCTAATAACTTACCATTACGCTGAGTTGAACAGAAGCCTGATGGTTTAATTCCATTTTGATTAAATTCCTTGATTTTATTTTCAGTTAATGTGCTGTCATTTTCATCAACCTTTTCCGTACTTTCTACAAATAAATACAGGTATATAAGTAGACAAATGTAATGCAGCCCGAATTGACAGTTCAACCATATCGCTGTCAAAGTGTTTCAAGTTTATTATTTGCCGGCAAAGAAAAAAAAAGCTAATAATAATGATGCCCAATTAAACATGAATGATTTGCCATTCCGGATTTCAATCATTGCTGGTCTGCAATTGTCATTAAGCATCGAAGGAACCCTGTTGATTGTCACTTAAATTTTCATTAATTCCCTCGGAATGGAAAAATAGTCAAGAATGGGGCACTTCGTCCTGCGAAACCGGGAACACAAATCACAATTAGAACTAACAAAGCCATATTGAAAGTTATGCTTTAATAATGAAAATAAAAATGCGAAAATAACAAACCCAATGAGACGTCACTACTTTTTGTTTTCGATGTAACTACATCCACTGATGGTTCGTGGTGAACAACCACTGAAGACAGTGATCGACGTGTAACGCGACGTAGAACTGTATTTGTGGCCTGCGTCCCAAGAGATTGTAAAACATCAAAACGACTGGAAGCATCTACGGCTTGATTACCGGTTAGTCCTACAATGACCAAACAACGACTGATATATTTTATTTCGTTGTGATATAGTTAGAACTACAAATGACGTATTAAATTAACCTCCAGAAACAAAATCTGTCATAGTTTGGGATTTTTGTATGCGTAATTAAATTTTACTTAAATGGGGATAGACGAAGTCTACAAATACTCAAAAGGATTCGTCTTAAATCATTAGGCCCGATATACAACCTACTATTAGTAATAAAGAAGAAAAACTTTCCCATGTTTTGAGATGTACATTACAGTGTAAATGTAATTGAAATAAGCTTTTGAATACAAACTAAATCATTTATCAGGAAAACTGCATTATTAATGCATAATGTGGCAATCACATTCATGAAGAGCTCACCATCTTCATCAGTGATCACTTGATCATTTTTATTGCTCTTGGCACCTTTGTTTTTCTTATGAGTGATTTTCTGGAATTCATAATCGGCTTTTTTCTTCCCATGACCACCACAACCTGTTGACAAATTTTAATTATTTCTCAAAAAAAATAAATAAAAAAAATCCGCATTCCTCCTGTTAGAAAATAATTTTACTTTTCTTTGTTGCGATATTGCTTTTAGGATGGATAATTCCTTCATTCTGCTCATTGTGTACATCACTCACGATACCGGACATCGGCACAACTGAGGCTTCATCAATCGATTGGCGATTACTATTTATGCCGTTTGTTGATGTTATACTTTTTGAAGTTTGATTGTCACCATCTTTTCCTCCTAAGTTACGTGATTTGACCAGCAATAAACCATTAATTCTGACTTGATTTAGCAAATAAGAAAGACTGATTATTCCAAACATTTGATTTACTGCTTGAAATTGCTAACCATCCCACTAATTTTCCGTCTGCCCAATGCAACACCTAATGAAAATATAAGCCTGCAGAGTTTCGCGAAAAAGAGATCATTAAAACACTTCGTACAGTACATTCATAGGAAGGACGTCAATCTTTTAAACCCGTTTAAGCAACATGAAAATATCTTGATACCTGAAAAAAAAGATGAAGTATGACGAACAGACGCTGGTGGATTTGGTATTAGAGAAGAAAGCGATGAACTTGACATGACATGCTGTTTCTTGGAAGCTGCATCTCGATAACTTTTACTCAGTGGTAGAACTGCATCTTTGGTCACTTCCGGTAAAAACACAGTTGAAGGAACATCGTTACTAAAACATTTACTTCTCAGTTTTGGAAAGCAGGATATGACTGAAACGGAAAGAGATAACTTCAAGAACCTGCATGTGACGTCAAATAATTTGAAGCCATTATACTTCCCCCATATTAATCAATACTTTAAGATATGTCTGGAGCTACCAGGACACTTTCCTTTATATCCACAGTGGTGAGTAGGGTACTTGACAGAGCGACCATCACTACAGGAATCAGAACCACATAAAACACATTCTAAGGGTACACATGAAGAAATGACACTTACATCGGATTACTTGTTTTTTTAATTCCCTTAGGTGGCAGATGCGGGGGCAAATATGAATCAATATGCACCAGGCCACTTTCATCGACGCTAGAATAAACACGTGGTGGAGGAGCTGCAAAAATCCGTGGATCAACTGGAGAGCTTCCAAGATGTTGCTGGTGGTGACGGTACATGTTTTGATAATGATGTTGCTGCATTGTATCCAAAGTACTATTGGGTGCCATAAGTGATTTCAAAACCTGGAAAAGACTAATTTCATTCAACAAACTAGTTTATGACTGAAAACAATCTGATAAAATGGAGAGATCTGATACTAATAACCAAAATATTTAGATAAACTCTAAGCACGATTCATAAGCAGGAAGCAAACATCAATGAAACAATGATTACAGCAGTAAAAAAATTACAAGCTACCGTACCGATACCGTTCGGTGAGAGGAGTACGGCATTCCAGTTGACATGTATGCATCGATGGTTGCGCCTGGTATATTATCCCATTCGTCATGCTTAAGAAATTGATATTTGAAAAGTTAAGCAGCAAGTGTGTTTATATTTTTAAAAGCAACATAAGATTCATTTTGATGCCATACAAGCTCAGCTCTGTCTTAAAAGTGAATCATTTCATATGAAAAAAATCAACTACCAATCACAAAAACAAAATTTACAAAATTCAAAAAAACTGGATGTACATGAGAAAAAACGAACCCCCCCAAAAGACGACTGATAAAAATCAGTACGCGTTACAGCTGTTGCAGTGGGTGTTTGACCATAAGGTACAGCAACTGGTGGTGGAGCCATTAATCCTGGAACTTGACCAGATGATGCCCAGTGTGGCGGGGCAATGGAGCATGGACTATATGGTGGTGGTGGTTCTGGCCAGAAGGTACGGTTTGGGGTTGGACCAATTGGACCTGAAGTTGGTAACACATTTCCAGACAATACATTACCGTTTCCATTCGTCTCTGAAAATTCAAATATTTAGCAACAAGCAGGTCAATAATAACAAATGGTAACTACAATTATATATGAACAGTCACGGACTTCAGTGTTATCGAAAATGATATGAAATAAGACCTACCATTTCAAAGGATTAATTTGAAATGATAGACCTTACTTCACATTTCATTGTGTTGTAGCATAATTTCATAAATGTGATACACTTATTTCCATTCCTTTTGTACTCTAAGGAAAGGTTAAAGGATCACTCAAGAAAAGAAAGTTTCATAAAACTTTTATACATTACAACGTCAGAAATTGCAAAATTTTGAAAAGAAAGGGCAAGATTTCCAAATCTTGTAAGAGTTCTTATTAAACGTAGTAATCCAAGTCTTATTAAACGTAGTAATCCAACCAATAACATACCGATAGTGCGACCATTTGTCTGTCCGAAAACATCCTCTTCACATAGAAGATTACCAATATAGTGGCGTTCTTGTTGATCGTCTAAAGTGGATGTCATATTTGCCATTTCTTCACTTTAATTTGTAGAATTTCGATACTGCACTGTGATACATTGCACTTTAACTAGGATAGCTGCCTGTAGTGCACTCTTCAATAAATTTATGCTGCAAACAAATTACTGGATTAATAGCATAATTATTTGGCATGTAATTAAGCCAACAAAACGGCTAGCGGCTATGTTAACATCTATCTCTTCCTAGCTACAAATTCAGCGATTAAATAATTATAGGTTAACTCATTGATTAATAATTCGTTGTTACGGAGGAAAACGGAACAAAAAAAAAAAATCTTTAATGATAAGTATAATAAAATGAAATGAAATGATAGGAACGAATTACTTCACTAAATATCGCAATTTAAATAACTGTTGAAAAATTATACATTAACTTTTCGGTTACAGCAGACCAGAATTTTGAAAAAAAATAAAAACAAAAAAAATGAAAACTGAATGATAGAATAATAAACTGTTTCACAGAAAAATCAATCATTCTCTTTTCTCTTATACATACACAAGTCGTGTATGTTAGCATCATCAAGTACAGAACAAATGAGCATGGCGCAAATGTAAAATAGTGAAACTAGTAAAAAGAAAAACCATCGATTTGTGTCACCAGCTTGTGTCCTAATTAGTCATGAGAGCTTTGGAAATATTCTTCTTAATCCATCATAATGTGCTGCTTCTCACAATTCCTATCGCTTTCTACTGTCTCCTCAATTGTAACATCTTTTGAGAAACATCTTTGATCACCTACCACTGCAAGAACTGTCCTTCCTACAAATATTTCCAACCTCCCATCATCTTTTTCATTTGTAGTACAATCTCTCTCTCATCAACCACCCCTCCCAGTAACTCTGCCTAGTGCGCCTAGCGCAAATACTTACACCTTACAACAGTTGTGAGCCTCAAAATGAAAAGAATGTGAGAATTTGAAGCTAAGAAATTTTTAATCAGTAAAGATGATATCATTAAGCAGTATCTTATACCAGAAATTATCATCTAAATTTGTGCTGCAAGTTTTTTCTTTTTTTTTTTCGAGCAATGATGAATGACATTTGAAAGATAAGTCGACAAAAGGACGATGAATAACACAAAACGTCTGATATTATTCTTACCTTATAAGTACAAATGTACGAATTGATAAATAAATCAAATTGGTTCAGTTAATTAAACAAGGGAGAAGTTTTACTGATAGTAAAATGCTTCATGTCATTTTAATTTTTCCTTTCCTATCTTTTTACTATCACTTTTGTCCCATTCTCCAAATCTATTTGTCATAAAGATTTGTTTGCAAATTTGATTATTCCTATCCTATCAAATAGCTAATGATCTAAATTAGAAACTATGGGAAATCTTCCATCCACTTCCTATCTCCTTCTTTACATCTCTTAATTTCTTCACTTGACACCTTCTTGAGATTTCTATCTTAAACTGGAATAATTTCAATTCAATCACTTTCAGTAATTAATTTAACTTTCAACTCGTCAATCAGATTACCAAATGGTATGATACTAAACTAAAAATTACCACGTCTTCCTAATTTGGGTACATTATGAAATAATAAAGTTGCAAAATCTAACGATACAAAATCTCTATTTCATCAGGAAAAAAAAAGTTTTAAGTTCCGGTTTTGTCTTGATAAAACATTTCTAAAAGAAGATTCAATCGGAATGGATTAGTTACTAAGAAATGTAAATGATTGAATCCTTTTTATCGTCATTTTTTTTTTTTTTTGCCATCAGGAAACCATAAAGCGGAATGGAATGGAATGAAATGGAATGTAAGTATCTCCAACCCTAAAAGCTTTCTCTTATTGTCTGCTTAAATTGAAAAGGGTAACAAAGACTGAGGTGATTAGCTGATTTGAAATGAAAAATTTTAAAGGCGGATTTCGAAATTGAAAGAGGGAAGAGAGGAAGAGAACCGGATACATATACATGTACACATACACATACACGCACAGACATACAGACACATACACGCACACACACATACACACACACACACACACACATACATACATACATACACGAACATTCGGTGGTAGTAATGGGAGAATGAATTTGATACAATATGTGAAATTGAACGGACAAACTGGCGGTGAAAGAGTTACCGGACTGATGATGGTGATGATGATGATAACTTTCTCTTATTCTCTCTGCAACATGAACTCTATTACTCTATCAATCATTTCATTTTTCGGTTTGATATGATTCCGGTAAAGAGAGACGGAAAGAATGGAGGAGTAAGAGGGTGGAAGAATGAGAATGGGAAGAAAGAAAAAGAGAAGGAAAAGGAAAAAGAGGAAATAGAGTCAAATGCTTTCGATAAACAGAAATTTCAAACGAAGGGAGTACCACAATGTTCGGTAAACTTTAAAGAAATAAGGTAATTGGAAAAAGCTGATCGAATGGAATAATGGCAACGATAATAATAATAATAATAATAATAATAATAATAATAATAATAATAATAATAATAATAATAATAATAATAATAATAATAGTAATAATAATAATAATAATAATAATAATAATGATGATGATGATGATGATGATGATAATAATGATGATAGTTTATGTTAGATGTCATGGTATGTTGTAGCAGTGGTAGGAATAAAGAAGAAGGGTAAAATGGAAATGAAATTTAGGAAGAGGAATGAAGAAAAGGTGATTGACTGACATTGAGGGTAAAGGAAATATCATTTGAAATTGGTTTAGATTAAATGATATAAAACTATTGGATAGTTTTATATATAGCCAAATATCGATTGATATTGATTGAGGAATTTAAATATTTCCTTTAGATGTTGTACTATGATATGCCGGGACTGGTACGACCAGTTCACATATGTATATATATATATATTTAATTGTTGTTGAAATGATAAAATGTCAACAATTAAATTGATTATTCATTAATTTTATTGTAAACTAATTACAAACATTCCTCTCATTAATGTCTCATGTTTAAAAATTATATTACATATTGGCCTAATTTTTTAATGAATGATTTTTTTTTTATGGATGATTAATTAAACTATTCCTTGTTGAAATTTTTCTTTCTTTCATGAATGAATGAATATCGTTGAAACTAGAATGGAACGAGAAGCAATGACCATAAATGACCAAAGAATGACCAAAGTTCTATAAGATTATGGAATGACAAAAAAAAAGGAATGACTGAAAAGATAATTATCCAATATGTGCTAGACAAAGACATCTAATTTGACCACTGCTGATTTTTTTTTTTCTTGCTCACACTGTTATTTAACTAAAATTGACTTATATTACTATTCAATACTTCTATAATTCTTTTTTTCCATGATTTCTATAATTTTAACAGAGTTCTACATTACTGACCAACACGATTTCTATAATTTAAAGAGAATTCTACATTATTGACCAGTACGATTTAAGAGAGTTCTACATTACTGACCAGTATGATTTCTATAATTTTAATAGAGTTCTACATTATTGACCAGTGCGATTTAAAAGAGTTTTACATTACTGACCAATGCGATTTCTATAATTTTAAGAGAGTTCGACATTAGTGACCAATATGATTTCTATAATTTCAAGAGAGTTCTACATTATGGCATTATCATTTTCATCTTATAAATTTCAGAGGGATAAATTTTCTATTGTTATAAATGAATAAATGTTATTATTCGAGGGAATAAATTTTACCATTCTGAAAAACGATGAAAAAAAAGAGAAGTGAAAGGTTATACAAATTTAATGCCAACATTGAATTCTTGAAAATTTGTCACAATAAAAATTAATTCTCTGTCATCTTTTCCTGTAATTACTCCTGTAATATCCTGTAATTACTTATTTCAATGATTTTTCTTTCCTTTTTTTTTAACTTCATACCAAACATTAGTGGTAGTAATCATAATTGTTGATATGCAAAATTTTGCATATCAACAAAAGAAATACTTTAGAAGGATAAATTTTTTACAACTATTTCACAATTTTACCTCTATGAAATATTTCTAGTACATTTCATCTTTCAACTTCACCTCTAATCTCTCGATGACAAAAAAAGGGCAGGATACTGCTCAATCATATATATATATATATATATATATATATATATATATATATATATATATATATATATATATATATATATATAT